ACATACAATTATGTTGGAGTCTGAGTCACGGCTGCACCTGAACAGACACTGACTAATGAAATAACTTCTTCTCTTGCGGACATACTCCCTTGGAATCATGTCATTCAATTTAATCACGAGTAGATTGGCCACAAATCAACTGTCTGCGCTATGGTTTCGTTGTGCGGTGAGTAACACGCCGGAAGTTGGTCGATTTTCCCTCCCGGGCACGGAGTCCACTGTTGTTTTGATATCCGCTGGATGACGGTGGTGTTGTTCGCAAACTCCCGTGTTCCTTCCATGTTGTGGGTGTAGAGCGTAAACAGGACGCGGTGGAGCACGCGGCCCCGGGGGCGCCGGTGTTCCACGCTTGAATGGACGAGGTGGGACCACCGCACAGAGCCGACTAGCAGCGGTTGCAGCGGTGTTTGGTGCTTAATAGTTTGAGATTGTATTAAACAGGAGGCTGCCATTTGGAAACAACATTGTGTTGATTCCAGGTCTCCAGAGGAAGAAAATGAGAATGAATTTGGTTCGTCCCATAAACATCATCTGGTGCTATATGATTCTTTAACTAGTGTGAAATGTCAATACATCCCATTTGTCCAATATTGTAGGTTATGACCGTGTACTTGCAAAACAGGTTACAATTATATCCACTTTTTGTGTGTAGTGCTAAATAGCTGAATGTACCTTACTGGGCTTATAGCAGTAGAGGGCATATCAGAATGTCCCCTATAGAACATCAGGATTATGTATAATGTATAAATGAGCATATCAAAATGGGTGTCGTTGGAGTCCACTTGGACCAAAGTAGCAAAGGATGAAAGGTCTCGAGACACCCAAAGACAGTGGTTGTGGTTCCAGTAAATTGGCCAGTCATTTATTTATTGTGCTGGAGTCCAAAGTCCTGAATGGACCAATTGATCGACTGAGGGACGGACTAAAAAATAAAAAGGAATGTGTTTTAATTGAAACACAGAATTAACTAAACAAGCAACACAGTGACACTTTCTCATGCGGTTCGACAATCGGTGACCCGGCTGAACTACTTGTGCATCATCACTTTTCTTTTGTGTTCAACCTCGAGAGTTTGGGGGTGAGTCATCTGGTGAGTAAGAGTGCAAGGTGACGACCACGAAGCCGAGGTTCCCAGGTAGTGCGCAAAAGAGCCGGTAAACACTGCTGCGACGGCCGGTATGCGTCACTCTCGCTGTAGGGCGCGGACAGCCAATGACATCCACCGGACTGTTACAGCTGTTTACACGGAGACGTGCAGGCGATGACATTGGAGCTTGGGAAAGGGCGAGGTTCATATTCCGGTATCGTTGACACCACACTCTCCTTTACAAACACTTAAACCTCGGATTTTTATCTTGAACGTTACCTGCAGCAGTTCAGTATCGTTTGGGTAGAAAGTGCTAAAAGATATTACTGCGAACGATGATCGATCTGCAGCTTAAGTCCTGGCTGGCGGTGAAACGGAGGCGCTGGGCCGAAGCAAACGGTGTTACGTGATTGGGGTTAACGTACCGTCTGACCCTGTCATCCATCCCACCAGCACTCCTGCGTTTCCAACACGCGTTGACAAGTGGGTGATCCTCGGAGGTTTTAGTAAAGCTACAGACAAAAGCTGGAGAGTTCACCAAGACTTTCTAGTGTAATCACAAAGATATTCAGGATGAAATAAAAAGAAACATACTGCATGACCATAAACATCACTTGGTTTATTTTCTTTAAACATCTTTAAATGGGCTTGATTACTAACTTTCTGTGTTGAGAATATATATGTTAGATTTCGTCTTGAACTTACCTGCATCAGTTCAGTATCGTACAGAACAAAGTGCTACAAACAACCTTTGCAACTATCGCTAATTCAGAGTTCCCCTGGTTGTATCGCTCCTGTGTGAATATGGCTTGAAATGCTCCTTGGTAAAAGTACTTGTACTGTATGTTGTTAAACTCTTCCTTGGTGCCAATCTAACAGCACAGGCCTCGACTTGAATCCGCTCGCTTGCCGCTGCTGCAAAGGCAAAACTAACCATTGAGTAACCCACACATGTCAATTATCCGTGTGCGCCGCCTCTAGATCAGTCTGACTTCTATCACAGGACCCGTTCTTACATTCGAAAAAGAAAGCAGTGCTGTTCGCGGCCGTCACAGCCTCGTGTGTTGCGGGTCTGAGTTTCCTGCTGTCATCAGTGCTCTAAGGTATTGCCACGTTGGAGCAGATGTGGCACACGGAGACACCCTGCTGTCCCACCAGGTGTGCTCGGCGGGGGGGGGGGCTGCTTCAGTCTGGTACCTCTGGATTCAGACTTTGCTGGCAGCCACCAAAAAAGAAATGGTGGTGGAAAAGGGCCCGTTTGATCAGAAGACCAAAGCACCGAGTGACAACCGGACCAAACGTCAGCGAGGCCCGTCTGCTTGTGCGTACTGTGGCTCCTCCCCGCTTTCTGAATTCCCGTTTCACTTCACGGCGAACTGCTGGGGCGAGACATTTGAGGTTTTTGGTATCATCGTATCATTGGGGGGGACAGGGGGGGGTTAAATGAATTCCCCACCTCGACGCGGTGCCTGCCTCTGAAACTGTGGCACAAGCCACTTTCACATACTGCCGACTGGTAGCGTACAGCCAAACACACTGCATGCATGTCATTCCTCTCAGTGTGACCCCAAGAGCCAATCACTGATTTTGAAATACGTGTGTAAGCTATTTCAGATTTTGAACTCTTAAACGTACGCCTGTCAAATCACAATGTGGGACGAAAGCCCAGGAGAACCATCGCATTACCAATCAAGTTAAATCTGCTCTTAACACAGATCCACATACAGACTTAACTGAAAAGGCTTGCCGCTCTCAGACGGGTCTCATTGGAATACATTTATTTCTACACCGTCTAATTATTTGAATCAGCTTGACACACTACACTCGAAAACCGCCTCTCGCTCCTGGTCACAGTTCGTTGAACCTTTTTTCTTCGCGCAGGCCGCTTCCTCCGGCCATGTTCAGGAGGCGTGCGGGCGGATCGGCAGCCAGATGTCAGAGCTTTGAGGAGAAGGGGTTAGATGGGATTAAGTGCCGCTCCATCGACGCTCGACTTGAGCTCATACCGTCCGAGGTTATGCAATTTAAAGACACCGAGCAGGGTTTAGCGTGCGTTTCATCCGCATGTAAATTAAAGGGCCGGGCTTTTCTGGCTCCGCGATTTCGCCCGTGGTTTAAACGGAACGAGCTCTTGAAGAAGATCTCCCAATGGCTCAGTGTAACGTGGTGGAAAAAGCCACCCTCGACTCGTGCTCTTGATTTAATCGAGCTGCCACGCGAGACCCAGCAGGCTTTCATGTTTGCTATGCTGACAGCCGGAAGGGGCTATTCTGAGAGTGGATATCAACCTCCCCGCCCTGCTCTAGGAAGTGGCCCAATGATAGAGTTTCCTGTTTGTATTTAGAGGAGATAAGCTTCTCTTGGGCAAGCGCTCTCACTTGAAGTTCTGTACTGGTTTGCGGCGCTCCGACGGATCACAGCGGTAACGAGGCGACGCCGTAACGTGTCATCTGTGTGCCGTGTGCTCTGCGAGGCTGTGTGACATTTTACAGAAGGAATTGCTTGTTCTTTCTGGTTGTGAGATGAAAAGTGTAATGCCCAGCTGGCTGTTTTGCAACAACAACAACAACAACAACAGCAACCCTATCAACCGGTTGGTTCAATGCTGAAGGCTTTTATGAGGCTCTCAGGTCTTAAATGCATTTTTCCAGTGAAAGTGAACACAGTGAACGCAACACCTTCAGCTTTTGATGTGAAGTATTGCATCCTTAAATTATTTATGGCAGTGTAAAGGTTGACAAAGGATTTTGGTCGGCCGAAACAGACCTTTTCTGTTCAGCGAGGAATGGCGCTGCACTAATAATCCGGCTTCTTTTGTGTTCATTTGTGGGTGTTTTCATCATATTATCCTACATAACTGCGACAATGTGCACTGAACTTGCAAGTGCTGATACAGAAGGCTAACTGGTGCGTTTCCCCCCCCCCAGCAGGAAACAGGTGTTTGCGATATCATAGAGTAGCACATAGGAAACACATTTAGATGAAAAGCACACTTACCCAACATCTGAAAAATGGGTTTTATTCGCTTTCCTTTTCAACCATTTATACATCATTTAATATTTTATATCTTTGGGTTTTTCTTTGTCGTTATTCTTTTGTAAATTACTTCTTTTGTAAAACTACCTGTTAACATCCATGAAGCTCAATATAAACCCGTTACGTTTTGGAGTGGACTCGGCAGGGCCAAGGAAACACAAATCGTCCCTCCCCTTCGTGGACGTAGAGAGGGCACGGCCTTGCCGCTGTGTTTTCTGACGTCGGTTTGCTCTCAACAAGTCACAAGCCCAGATAGTTTCAAAAGATCCGTTAAAAACAGCTCAAGGACAAAACACTGCCTTGACTCACATCCTGTAGAGCAGCACGAGTATATCAGGGCTTCTTAATATGACTGCATAGCTAATTGGAATTTTAATGAGAATACTCCCCCCCCCCCCCCCTTTATATCCCCAAAGAAATGTTCTTCTAATGGTGAAACAAAGCTTTTAGTGCATATTCTAGTTGCAGAGAACTGTGAGGTTGTGAAGGAAAGAAAAAATTGATTACATCATTCAGTGAGCTTCTTGGAATTTCTCATTATAGTAAAAATGAGAATACATTCACTTTTATTAGTTGCTAATCAGCACACTGCTTAACTATTGTCCCATTGCAACATCTTTGGATTTTATTTAATCTTCAAATGATATAATGCACAGCGACGTTTTCTGCTGACTCAGAGTATGTTGATTTGTTTTCTCTTCTCTCATCACTTGTGGGTTGAGAAGTGACGAAACCGAGAGAATAAAACCCACAGTGGACGAATCCGCAGTATCTCAAAAGCTCTGTGGGTCAAAGTGCTAAACAGCCTAAAACATAGCAGCACTATGGTATTATTTTGTGCTCTTTAAGACAGTGGAATCATTGATAAACACCGAAATCATTTCTTTAAATAAATATTTTATTTGAAAATAAATACATTTTCTTAAAATAGAATCAATAACATTACAAAAGCTTTTGGGGAAGTGAACAGGGAGGATGGGAGGAGGGGGCTTTACCCAAATGAAAGATGTGTAATTTGGAACAAGGAGTACAATCTCACACGTTTATCTACCATCTTAAGACAAGTTCCCACAAAGTGTTGTACTGTACATTCCCGGCTGCTTCGTATGAAAGGGGTGGCATCCCTCACGCTTGCTTTAACATGCAGTGTACTTGGTCTTAAAGCTTCAGGCCCTGCACCCAAAAACAAAACAAAAAAAACATTGGTCTTCTCATACTGTATCTACACACTCATTTGTAAAAATGTAGGGTATAATCTCTTGTTACCACATCAAAAATCAGCCACCGATTTACATTTACATCTGACAATGTTTTTCTCGAAAGTACCTTAATTCACCTCTAGTCTACGGTACAAAGATACAATACACAAGAAGGCTGCGCTTATTGATGTAGCAGTAATCAGAGGCCACTGTCTCGCTTAAGGCCAGAAGTATATCCATTTCAACTGGGAGCTTGTAAATTGGTCTGGCCCGAAATTTCGTCAGGCAGAAAAGGGAAACAGTGCGTGAACTCGCTGGCACTTCTCTGCCTTTACAAAGGCTTTTCAATGCCCATTGTTTGACTGGAGAGCTGGGAGATGGCAGATCTCCAGAGAGACGGGGACAGCGGCGCAGTTGTATTGGAACAGATTAACACAGTGCACTAGCGCAGTCCTGACCCCTCTGACAGCTCCACAAATAGCACTGGGAGAGCAGGAGATTCTCTCTCTCAACCCGCCTGCAGCGGCAGAGCAGCAACCTTGACAAAAAAAAAACCTAATTACCAAATGCGCAAAAAAAAAAAAAAAAAGCGCCACAGAATATGTCCGTTTTATAATTATTGAGTCATTGGAGAATGTGCAAGCCGACCTCAATTAAGACAAGCGTGTGAGAACGTGTAATTCATATCTAATTGGTGAAAAAAAGCAGCAGAGTAAGCTAATCTATGGCAAAAACAACAACTTTGCACGCCTCGCGCTTCCCCACTAGCTCTTCCTGCCGGATGAAATCAATTCCACAGGTAGCAGATTTAAATAATGATTAAACTAAGTGCTGCCGGGGAGTGCTGTGGCCACACATTGTGTCCACTCATCACAATCTCTTCCCCCCCTCCCCCAGCCCCCAACCCCCTTTTCCCCGGCAAGCCCTCCGATCGCCTTCAGGCCCGTGTGTTTAGAGAGGAGAACGCCATTCAACGGGTTTCAAATGCCTCACTGCACTGACCACACACGGCCGTGTGCAAACAACCCTCAGATAGAAATTCTGCAATCACGCTATTTTTTTTTGTTACACCTTCACCCTCCGATGGCTACTTTTTTTCCCCCCGTTTGGCTTGGAACTTGCAACAGGCCACAGTAATGGCGTTTCTCGTGGACCAACGCGGTTCTTCCTCCTCCAGCAGCTCGTGCATTTCCACCAAGCAGCAACCCAAACGTTGCTTGCGATGGGCATGTAAATGTCTCGCAGCTGACAGATTTACAGGCCATCTTCTGGAGATAAATGCTTTGTTGAAGCAGACACTTGGAGCAACGCGCTACTTTGCCAATGATTCAATCACAGTTAATTAGCGGGGAACAGATGTGATACATTTAATGGTTGCAGATTAAAATCGGAGTCAGGTAAATGACACTGAAAGCTAAATAATCAATGTAGCATATTTCACCCGACTAATCCGAGATAATCTGCTTCACGTCACGCAGGAATGCTGCACCAACTCGCTCTCCTGCTCATCGAGGAAATGTTTACTTCCTTTTTCAGGAACTCGGTTTTGAAGAGCCAGCCTTCAAACGCATGTGAGAAAAAGATATCAGTTCTTGATCCCTTCATCGTTACAAATTCGGAGGACTCGCTTTTATAAATTTGTAAAACGTCTGCTACTATGTGAAGGTGTCATCGGAGATATAATACATTAAGTGTTGCCACAGAATCTAGCAGACCCAGATGGATAGTCTCTTCAGGCCTTTCCCCCCGTTGTTGTTGTTGTTTGTTCCGTTAACAATGATCCCAAAGTCTTGGCAAGGCAGGCACATGTGCTGAGGGCCAGATGGGTAGAGACAGAGCCCCGCTGCATCAGGATGCCTCAATTTGGCCAAAGATCTTTCTGGCACCGGCTCAAAGAAAAGAAACCTGGTGCACTCGCGGCGTTTTTCTCTCCCTACAATTCTTCATCAACTCGCAGGCAAGTCAGTGTGAAGGCGCACTAGTCACTGTCAAATACACAGAAACACCCAAACAGAACAGAGAGATTGTCTCCTCTCGCTGTGCTACTTTTACCGCTCTGTCATTCTTTGGGGGGTGTGAGGGGGGGTTGGGGGGGGGAGGGTGTCCAGTCCAAACAAACCCGAACCAGATTGTGGACGCCTCGCTCAACAGCTCACCGTGCTCGGCTGCTGTTTGCACACAAAGTCTGATGTGAAGTCAAACTCATTTTGTCCCAGGCAGAGCTCCGGCAGCTCCTGAACGCGATCCAACCCAAACTCCAGCACCAGCGAAGTCAGAACCTCCTCGTCGATCAGATCGATGTCTGTGCTGTTTGGTCCCAAAGGGCCGCCGATGTGCTGCATGCCCGATAGCTGGGCGGGACCCACCCGGTACTGAGCCCCGTTGGGCATGTGGTGGCCGTTGGCTGAGACCAGCGGGTGTCCATGATACTGAGTGTTGAGTTTCTGCAGGTGCATGCTGGCCATGAGCTGCTGGGAGGTGAGGTTACCGGGGAGGTACTGCTGCGGGTGTCCGCTCTGCTGCTGCTGCTGCTGCTGCTGCTGCTGCTGATGCTGCTGCTGCTGCTGATGCTGGGGGTGCATGTGGTGGTGGTGCTGCTGCTGCTGCTGTTGCGGTTGCTGTTGCTGTTGGGGACCCTGGCCATTGTACATCATGTTCCCAGACATCATCTGGTGGTGGTGGTGGTGGTGGTGGTTGTTGGCCATGGGAGCTCCGTTCAAGGGGCCGGTCATCCCACCGGGTCCCACCATGCCCTGTCGCTGTCTCATGGCGGCCTCCATATTGTTCTGAGGGTTCCTGCCGTAATGCATCACCTGGCCGTTGGGTAGAGCGCGGAGGCCGGGCTGGCCGTTGTGCTGCGGAGGTCCATTCATACCCATCCTGAAGCCGTGGGTCATGGGCATCATCATGTGTTCAGCCATGGCTTCTTTGGCCTGGAGAAAAAAAACACGGATCAAATTAGATTATTTACCACGACTCACTCAGAAGGCTTCTGGGCCTGTGCGTGTTTTTTGTTGCTCTGGAAAGCGCTTTCCAATAATTCAGTAGACACCGTAAAGAGCAGAAAACTGAAATGCTGTTTCATCAAATTCATTCAAGGCCGTCAAGTTTGTCCCTGGTCTGACCGGAGGTGTTGGGTTGGAACATGTCAACATTTAGGAGGCCGGGATAGTCTAACAAAAGAAATGCTATTAAGTTGAATTACAGGAAATGTAGGATCCTGTGTTTTTTCTATGAACTAAAAATCCAGATAACTCTGAGTGAGCTCTCAGTTTGACAATTTTACACTTGGGCAACACTAAATCTCTGCCCTTTTTAAGGGATCAAACATTGCTTGGCTCTTGTGAGAACCAGTCTGGTCTGTTTTTCCTCCTTGTTTTCTCCGTCTGCATCTGAACCGCTTCCAGTAATATCATGAGAGTCACTGAAAAAAAAAACCCATCTCAAACCCCCGAAATTACACCATCAGTGACGAACGAGGGAGGGCAGCAATACCCTTGCAGCCAAAAGGACGCAGAGGAATGCTCCTCCAGACCACACACACCTCTCCAACCCCCCCGACACACAGCACCCTGCCTCTGTCTTCCCACAGTCATTACAAAAGATCTTCAATTGAGATAACCTGCATTTGACAAGCAGATCCCCGCTCACCCCGAAGCTGTAATTTGCCATCAACGTTAAAATCGCTGGAATCATTGTATCCACTAAACAGCATGATCATAAAAGGACATCCAGAGCGAGACATGTCTCCTTCTGTCAGTGAAACAAAGACGTTTCAGGCTTTTAAATCCACCCCCCCCAAAAAATGAAAACTGGTGTTGCCCCTGGCTGCTTGTAGCCATTCAAGCCTTTTTAGTGCTGATAAACCCACCCTCCTCCTCCCCAATAGTCCAAATCCTGCTTAAAATTTTGCTCCTGTGTTCCCTAATTACAGCCTATCGGACGAGCTTCTCTGCAGATATCATTCAGCTAAATGCCACTTTGTAAATAGATAGTCTGAGGCTGGGTAATAATTGCTGACATTATTACATGAAACCTTTTTTTTCTCCCCTTTTTTTGTTTTTTTTTAATTATCCTCAAGGACTGTGCATGGGGGGGGGGGGGGGGCTATTTGGGATTCGGACATAATAGGCGACCGCGCTGCGTCCTGCACGCAAAGTGGCGGCTGAACGGGGACCAGCGCAGCTGATCGCCCGGTTCCTTTTTACGCAGACGGAGGTAAAAACAGTCAGCAGCCATACAAAAGGGGCAAAGTGCTCCTCTCTCTCTCTCTCTCTCCCTCTTTCTGTCTACCTGTTAATGGAGCCACCGAACGCGACACCTACCCGATGTATTAATGTCGAATCCGTACGGAGAAGTTGGGTCGGTGCCGGGGTTGTTTCTCCAGCTGATGCTCCGGCTTACACGCAGCCCTGCGGCGGATACGAACTCTGCGGCGTGTCGGCAGTCAGGAGGAGTTTGTTTTCTGGGTCAACTCCGGGATTATATACATCTATAAAGCACCGAGAGAGAGAGAGAGGGAGAGAGAGAGAGAGAGAGAGAGAGATAGCGAGGGGAGGAGCTACGGTCCTCTCCGTCTCCTTTGTTGCCATTGGTCCTCCCCCTTAATCACTGTGCAAAGAAACATCCACTAACTACCTCCACTGATCCACCGGAGCAGCAGAGCTCCACGCGGCCGAGGCGCGCCGTGCCGTGCCGCGCCGCGCCGCGCGTCCTGGAGAGATTTCACCGGCGTCTGCTTTTATCACCCTTATGCTTTAAGCCCAAATGAAAACTGAGGAGCTTTTCTGTTTCAAAGTGTCACGTGACCTCTGCGACTAATAAGAAGGTGCAGATGTCATTGGGCCCCAATTCGGGTACGTGGGTGGAAAACAACATCATGGGTCATCTGTTCCACGGTAGACGTCAAAATGCCTCTCATACGAAACCATCTTATCTCCGAACATATATGAATAGGCTCCTTACTGAGCATCAATTCGCTCCAGCGACTGTGGGAAGGGAGAGACAAATAGCAGTATTTAAGTTAGCCTATATATCAACAAAACAAAGTATGAAAGGCGTTCTTTTCATCCACATGAATAATGTTTGAACAAACATTGCTGCAACGTCACTCAACCTTCAGGCGCACGTCCTTACCCGTCAACGTGTTGCATATTGCCTTCGGCAGCTGAAGCGTGATGAGGATTTTTACACCTCAAATTATACTGAATTTGCTCAGAAAATGATGTAAACAATGATACAAACGTAATCCCAGTAGCTGACAATGTCTCACCGGTGAAGCTGAACTAAGCATCGGCGTGTTAGGAAAGGCCTCCAGCGTCATCAAAAAACCAAACAATGAGATAGAAGGGGATACAACAGTACGACGGAGCTGTGCAGGGTTGTTGGATTATTCTACACGGGTTTGTCACTGCGAACGGCTCCTTTCACATTACGTGCAGTAGTTTGATACGTACATCAAAACACAGTCTTGACGAGTCCAGGTTTAACCAAACATTCTCTTGCTACCAAGCAGGAGGGGCGTTGCTAGTAAAAGTAGGCTGCAGAGACATGCTGAGTCTGCACAAATCTTCTGTAGAATGCAGTTGAAGTGGATGTAGTCAGAACCTTCATGTGTGGAAAGGGGAATGAAAAAAAGTCCACACAAAAAAGCTGTATGTTTATCACTGCCGGTGAACATGAAACATGCAGATATCTCACTCCCCAAAAAACGTAGTTTGGCCAAACTCCTTAGTGTATACGGTGCATGTTATTTTTAGAACACAGGACTGTGTTGACGCATCAGTTTTCCCACCAAAGAAAACCACCAACATTCAGTGACAGAATCGGCCAATCCCAAACTATAAGAAGGAATCCCAGTTGTGTCCTTTCTGACTTCTAGGCTAAAGTTTGGCACAGGTTTAAAAACCCATGGAACAAAGAGTAATAATCTACCTTTTTCATATTTTTTTTTTCTGAATAGTTTTACAGACGTCTCCCTTATGAAACTTTTCTTCCCAGTCGCCCGACCGCTCAATGCGATTCATGTCAACAATTAACTATTTGCAATCATGCACCGACGGCAGAGGCCACCGAGCAGGTTGCCACCGGTTTCTTCAGGTTCTGATCAACAGTTTCGACGGGAGCAATTTGGGGTTTTGGTTTCTCACCAAAAGACGCTTTGAAATGTTGACTGTAGGAGCCGGGGGTCGAACCGTCGACCTAGGGGACGCGCCACGCTCCGCCTCCTGAGCCACAGCAAAGGAAAATGGCGGTCAACAGGTTTTTTTCGAGTCACCGGAACAAACCGGCAGCTACATTTTGCTAACACGCACGACCCTCCGATTTAGCCATTAAATGACTTATTATCCTTAATCGTGTACATGCAACGACGGTATAAGCATTTATAAATGAGCTGTAGCACGGCCCGGTGAAGCACGCGTTTAAAAAAACGGGACGCCTTGTGCTTTGCAGCCCGATGGAACTCAAACCACCTCCATCCAGCTCCGGAGCGAGCGAGCGCACACCAGCCAGCCCTTTTGTTCGGGCCTCCCTCCCTGTGTGGAGAAAGTCAAACCCCCTCAGCAGGAGCTTGGTATGTATTCCTGTTGACATGCACACACACACACACACACACACACACACACACCCTCTGCAGCGGAGGAATGTGTCCTATTTTTGGGCCCCTGAAGTTAGCCAGACTTCCAGCGTCTTTCTAATGGCGATTCACTTGACTATTGTGTTGTGTTTTTATTTATTTATTTTTTGCTCTTTTGGGAGTACGCTGTGTGTGTGTGTGTGTGTGTGTGAGTGTGTGTTGATCCGAGCTGCAGCCTCCTCCATTTATTTACAAGGAGCAGTTGTTCTCAGAGCTGCTTGAGCGGAGGTGCCGTTTATTTTGGCCAAATACAGCTGGACTTTGAGTTTATGATTCATTCTGTGTGGGTTCCAGGTGATCCGCATGCAAGGTACTGTCGTATATACTCACTACTAAATATAGTACTCATTTTAAGAACTCGAATATTTCCTTTTTTTTTGTTGCTGATTAATCATTTTACATTCCGCTACATTCATTTAACATCCGGTTACTTTTCATAGCAGCGTTTTATCAACAAAGCATTAGAGTTTATAAAATATGTTGTATTGCTACTAAAAAAAAACATTTTACCATCTTCTCGATTGCCCAACAGGAAGATTGGTACCACTAATATGAAGCTTTCTCCAGCTGCTGCTTAGCTGAGCAGACTCTGTCCAAAGAAGCGTAAAAAACCCGTCAAATCAGCGGTTTGCCAGGCTCGAGATCAGTTGCCAAGCAACCAAGCGTAGACTTCCTGAAGGTGGATTTTGCTTCTCTGTGGACATTGTTTCCGTCTTTTTTTAAGCTCAGTAAATCAGCTGCAGGGAAGAAGGAAATGTTTCCTTTTTAAGTGCAATTTTTATGAGGAGAACTTCTACTAGTAATGTAAATGTCCTTTAGAAAAAACACTTCATGGCCGCGTGTAATTAATGCGACAACCCTTCCGACTACACGCCGCTTATTGGACCTCAGCTGCGGCCTCATCTGACTTGCCGGTCCGAACGAGATAGAAAATGTGTTCCGGCAGTAAACCAACGAGAGTGTTACTCTCCTTTTTATTGATCATTACTCATCCGCCGGGGCTCCGTCCATACCGTGACTCAGTGTTGTTGCTCCAGACAAATCCTGCACCGCCTCATGCCAGCTCATGTAAACAAGAGAATAATATTGTGTTTGCTCCTGCGTGCCACATTATGTGATGACCGCAGCTCCCATGCAAATGTGGGAGGACGGATTGAATCTAATTTGTCTACGTGCAACCGCTAGAACAAAAAAAACAAAAAAACAACAGCACTGATTCACTTTCGGTCTACATGTTTTTCCTCCCTACTGGTTTTTCCCCCCTTTGAGCGCTGCAAACCTCCGGGTTTCACGTCGCTCAACTGCCTCGTGTTCCTCCGTTCCTCCTGGAGCGGCCACCACCGCAGCCCAGCCCCTGCTCTCCGTGCTTATTCCAATAACGGCTTTATTTATTGTCACAACATGATTAATGCAGTTTTTGCAAAAGGCAATTACGGCTGGCAGAAGGGCAAAGCCACACACGAGGTAATCACAACGGACCGTCGCCCTCATGCAGACAGAGAGCACCGCAGAAAAGATTTGTAAAAAGGTCACTGGAATAAATTGCCTCTTAGGTACAGTAAGATGTGTTTCCATGTGTCCTCTGACAACTTAAACGGCCTCTCGAGTCATTGAGCCGGATGCACGTCATATTCATTGCTCATGAACTTGATAAGAGGTCCGAAATCCAGCTTTAATTTAAGGTGTTGGATTATCGCAGATGTGCTCTTTTTTCAAAAAGGCGCCAAACGGCAACAATTAAATCAAACTCCCAATCTCCACATCCCATGTTGACACCGTACGGGGCGAAGGGTAAAGATGGCCGAGCTTCCCAGTCCTCTGATTTATGAGCATACACAACCTCAAACAGCTCAAGACGGTTTATTGTGTAATTGACCTTTCGCTGAGTCCCGCCCGTGAAACACAGAGCAGCCAATCACGACCTCGCACTGTCCAGCTGCGACCAACTATCGGGTTGCGCTGCAAAGACTCTCATGCAATCCTTTCAGACTTTCTTCGGATGTACATCTAGGACTACTACTGCTTGTCCACGTGTTGCTTTAATGATTGAACAGAACAGCAAATAAAGGCTCTGCAGGAACAGCGTTGTTCTTTCATTTCATTGTCCGTAGGCTTTAGTTTTCACTGCCAGACACCCAGGAAATATACTTGCCTCCTTCTTCTTCTTTTGCGAAATAAAATCCATTCAGGAAGTGCAGTTTTTGAAGTGTGGGCTCCAATGGCGGCTCTGACAGCTTGACTGAGTAGCAACGGGGGGGGGGGGGGGGGACGCGGCGCAGCAACGGGTCAATTGCATCGCATGTCATCACATTTAGCTGTGTACTGATATACAGGGTCTCTAATACTTGGCTCTGAGAGAGGAAGTATTTAGGCCATCGTGGGACACACTTAAACTATGATTCATGAGCCATATGTTCGACCTGATTAAAATGCATTTGAATTGGTTGCGTATTGACGTTACCCACCTATGAAAATACGAGTCTAACCACCATAAACACCCTTGTTCTATTTGCTGTTGGAACTATTTACTTTCTTTGCCACTTGTGTACGTGCATATTCAGTCTACTTACATGTACTGTTTGCACCGTTGTGGTGAGCGACATAATGAATGGTTGTGATTCTGAATCTCAGGAGTGTCCAACAACAAAAGAACCCCCTCCTCTCCCCCCTTCTTCTTTCCAGTCCCTCCTCTTGCTCTCCTGGGCAGGGAGGGGCGTCCCACCTGCTGCTCCAGGTAGTAGAAACAGGAGCATATGTTGTTTTATTAGCCCTTGTTTGTGCGTGTGTGCGACCACGTGCGTTCATGCGAGTGTGCGCTCGGGGGGCCGTTTCTCCCCTGATGCCTGTTGTGTGAGCAGGGGGGGAGGAGGGGGGAGGGCTGGCTCTCAGATTCCCGGGTCTCTCGTAGTGATCTGTGTTGTGCTCCGGCCGTTCCATTTGGCCAACGACGACCCGCCTCTTCCCCCACGCCACCCCCCCCCTCCTCTGACTTCCATACAGGTCCTGCCTGCCACGATCAGGTCTGATCCTG